CTATCCTGTCCTTGGTCTTCCTCTTGTTTCTAGAATATATGTTGAATGTTGTCTTGTTACCTTTTTGTCTATAGTTAATATGAGCTTGTTTTTATGCCTTGGCCTTTCTAATTTTGCCCCTACATACTTATGGTATGTTTCTTCGTCTTTTGTGGTTTGACCTAAATTCTACTTTTTCTAGGACCTTTTCTAAGATCATTGAAGATCTTCTGCTTCAGTCAGGGTGGTTTCCTGCCGTACTGCCACTTTCCTATCCAGTGGAATAGTTTGCTCTTGTACCCGTAATAATGTCTCTTGGAAAAACTGCCAACTGTCTTCCGTTTTCCCCCCCATCTCCCCTCTTAGACTTGCTTCTCACTGAATCTTGCCCACCAACTCCATGACTTTTCTGAAGTCTGCCTTCTTGAAAGCCACTCTTTATTTTGCTGTTCTCCCTCCTACCCTTCCTTAGCTGTGAACTCTGTCCTTTCAAGATCATGATCACTATCACCCAAGCAGCCTTCAGCTTTCAAATTCTCAACCAGTTCCTCCCTTGTGGAGAAAGCTACCATCTGAAATAAAAACTTGCCCCCAATACATGCTAAGAACTTGTTGGATAATTGTGCCCTGCTGCCCTATTTTCCCTCCAGATGTCTGGATAGATGAAGTCCCCCATCACCAAGTACTGTGCTTTGGATGAATTTGATTTTGTATAAGCCTCATCCACCACTTCCTGGTTAGGTGGTCTGTACTAGACCCCTATTATACCACCCTTGTTTCTTACTCTACTCCAACTCTCAACAAGTCTGTCCTAGTTCAGTCTCCACCTCAGGCCAAATGTATACACTTTAAATATAGAAGGTAACCCTTCCTCTTTTTTTTTTTTTTTTTTTTTCTTGCCTGTCCATTCTGAGCAAACTGCACCCTTCTATGCTAATATTCTAGTCATGTATTATCCCACCAAGTCTCGAACACCACAACTATGACATAGTTGGCATTAATGTATTACCATTGAGGTGATGCCAACTATGTCATAGTTGTGGTGTTCATGTATTACCATTGAATTCTTCCTGCTTCTTCCTCATACTTTTCACATGAATATACAGAACTAAAATACTGGTTTGATTCCTCTCCCCCTCCCCCGCCCATCTGCTTC